AAAACGGTAAGTCTCCCACTGACATAGGTCTCTGTTTTTTTTATATCCTTGTAAATCATAAAAAGAAATGAAGGAGGGGGGAAGATAAATTCTAGATTTTAAAAAGGGATAAGGAACATGAACTCAATGGCTGAGTTTAATACCAGATTAACAATAACTGGTAAGTGACTCAGTAGAAACTACAGACTGGAATGGCAAGAGGAGTGAGAGATATAAGCCAAAAAGGTCTAATTTGCTTAATCAGATCTCAGAGGAAAGGGAGAATGAGGCAGAAGCACATTTAAAGAGATGACTGAAGAAAAAAAAAAAAAAAAAAACTAATGAAAACCAGTGAGCTACGTTAAAAGCTCGACAAATCTAAAGTGAAACATTTTATAAGGATGAAAAAGATACATCAGAAAAACATCTTAAGAATGCTAACATAACACTATTACTAATCAGACAAAACAGGCTTTAACATTACTGACAAAGTTTGATACCCCCCCCCCGAAATTTAAATGTGTATATACCTAATATGGGTTCAAAACAAAGAAAAAATTGACAGTTCAAGAAGGAATAGGCAAACCTATACTAGCATATGATTACAATACATCCTTCTCAGCAAATAAGAGAACATGCTTCAGGAACGTGCACACACGGGATCACAGAACAAATTTTAACCATTTTCAAAGGATTAAAATCAGTGTCTGACTACAACACACTTAAGTAAACACTGATAATTAAAGGGTAACTAGAAAACCACTGCATTTGAAAATCAAGAAATGTACAAAAAAAGGGCCAGAAACAACCAAGAGAAGTTTAAAGAACAAGGTGGAGATGAGAGAGGGACTTGCTTTACCATATCTTATTTATCATCAAGTTGTATTAGCTCAACACACTCTATGGAATATAACAGAGTAAGAATAGACTCATGGATACCTGGTTTACTGCACAAGGAGTACTGCGCAGCTGTAGGAAAAGGATGGTCTTTTCAATAAATGGTGCATGGACAATTAGGTGTACACAAGCAAACAAAACCAAACCCCAAACAAAAAACAATTCACACCTCACTCAACAAATAAATTTCTAAACTAAGTATAAAAGATAAAAACAATAAATCTTCTAGAAAGGAATATAGACTATCTTTGCAGCTCAGGTTAGGAAAAGAATTTTTAAATGGGGGATAGAAATCTTTAAGTGCAGAAAAGATTGAATAATAAGACATTCAAATAATGAATTCCTAGACATATTGTAACAAACAATGAAGGGCTTATACATGATACATAAATAACCTCTCTCTATATAAATCAATAGGAAAATGGACCAGAACCAAAACTTTATAAAAAAGAGAATTCCAAAAGGCCAATCTCAAGAAAAGGAAAATTAAACAGAATGAGAAACCATCATTCACTGAACAGAAAGCAAAATTAAAGACTGACAAGGGCTGCCCTGGCCGGTTTGGCTCAGCGGTTAGAGTGTCCGCCTGAGGTCCGGAGAGACCTGGGTTCGGTTCCCGCTAAGGGCATGTACCTCGGTTGCAGTTTGTCCCCGGCCCTGGTTGGTCGTGTGGGTGGCAGCCACTTGATGTGTCCCTTTCACATCGATGTTTCCCCCTCTCTCTCTTCCTCTCTCTCCCTCCCACTCTATCTGTACAAAAAATGGGAAAATGTTCTCGGGTGAGGATGAAAAAAAAAGACTGACAAGGGCTGATTAGGATGTGACTGACAAAAACCTTCATATTCTACCCAGCAATTCTACATTATTAGGTAAATAACCACAAAAATGTATGCACAGAAACTCCGAGAGAAATGCAAATGAATATTTCTACAGCATTATTTGTAGTATCCTCAAACTGAAAATAAATACACAGCAACAATAGGCTAGAGTGGGGGGAGGGGAGGAGAGGGAGAGGAAGACAACATATAAGCAAATGTATCAGTGAAAATAAGCTTATAGCTGCATGCAATATTCTGGATGAATTTCACAAAAACTGAAGCTAGATTTTAAAAAATACTTACTTTGATTGCATTTATATTGTTGAAAGAATAGGTTCAATTAATATGTTTCGAGAGAAATACTTAAGTATTAAAACCAGAAATCAAAGTAATTACCTTAAAAGCAAGGAAAGTGACTGACCTTCGGGAGGGGGAGCGGGAAAGCCAATGACTGGGAGGAAGCATGAAGAAGCTTCTGGAGTACCGGCACCATTCTGTTCTCCTGACTTGGGTTATGGTTACAGAGTTGATTGTTTTGTGTACACTAAGGTGTATATTTTTGCGTTCTGTGTGTTCCATTTCACAATAAATGGTTAATTTAAAAGAAATAGTAGAGCCCGGCTGGTGTGTCTCAGTGGATTGGGTTGTCCCGTGGACTGAGAGGTCTAGGTTTGATTCAGGGTCAGGGTACACGCCTGGGTTTCAGGCTTGATCCCCAGTAGGGGGCATGCGGGAGGCAGCTGATCCATGTATTTCTCTCACATCAATATTTCTCTCTCCCTTCCTCTCTAAAAAAAAAAAAAATCAGTGAAGTCATTAAAAAAAAAAAGAAACAGTAGACATCATGACATTTCCTTACTAATTTGTCTGTCTCAATTTCCCACATCTCCATTGCAGACTGCTGTTGAGTTCTACATTTATCCATTACTCTACCTACCTCAATTGAATGTTCTGAACAGCGAGGCAAATGTTTGACAAAACCCACCATCAAGAAACAGCAACTACAAGAAAATTCTGGAGATTGGTCACACAATGTGAATATAATCAAGCACTACTGTGAACTATACATTTAAAAATGGTTACGATTGTTAATTTAGTTATATAATACATACTTAAAGATTTGTTTAAAAAGGTGCAGTAGCTAAAGATTTCATGATCTTATGGCCTTTTAGCTATTGAAAGATGCTGGCCTCTTGGTCATGGCTTAGAGACTCAAAGTGAAACTCTACTAATGCAAACTCAAGTAGGTAATAATGTAAGTTTGAAAACTACTTTTTCGTGGGACTTGCTGTCTCACTGCCTATAATTTATACTACAAGGTACTCAGCTTTGTTCAATTCTAAGATGTGGAACAAAAACAAAAGCTACTGTAAGTCTAAAACTTGGATGTCTTGATATTTTAATACCCGCTCTGTAATGTTTAGTGTTAATGACCATACATGAAATGAATTTAGAGATCTAAAGAATATTCTCAGCCAGTTATCCCATAATCCAATGTATTTAACCTACTATAATTTCACTTTTCTGATACAATAAAATTACAAATGCTGTTACATAATGGTGCTTTATTGAGGCAATCCATTGGACCAAAATAGTGTTCCCTAAAACTGAGAAAGGTGGAGAGATCATTCCTGCTCTTAATGAGAAAATTCTACAATGAAGATTTGACTAATTAAATACCACAACTTCATGAAGCAAGGTTTTTGTTAGAGTCCTTAGGTATTTTCCCCTCACTAACCCATAAAAAGTCAAAAGAAATTTTCATTCTGGGACAAAAAGGTGACAAAATAAAATGGTAGGTCGAAGTTGAAGTAATCTATCATCTCTTCTACACATTCTCTAAAACCTTTGTAAAAGTGAACAAGGAAGGAAGTGTGTGTTTGGTACTCTTAACTCTTTTAAAAATGGAAGATTTATAAAAGACAACGCAACTTAACACAAAATTTGAATTAACTTTATTTCCCCTACAGTCAACAACTCTGCATTGAATTTTAAAGCAATAAAGTAAAATAAAATCCCCCAAATGACAAGGTATCAGAAATCCAGATTCAGTTACACTTTTATTCGTGAAAATGTTCAGCCATTTTATTGGTCTGTAAAAGAACCATCATCTGGGTCAAAAATGAATTCTATAAATCAAAGAATATTCTACACTTTGGAAAAGAAAATCAGCAGTAACATTCTCACTGAATATTGTAAATTACACTTTTCTTCATAAAAGGTACATACTATTCTGCACTTTGCCACCAAAAGCAGTGGTGTAAGTTAAGCTTGTTTGTATAAAAAAAGTTATATCCTGTGGCAGGAAAAACCTTTCTCTTTCACTTTTACTAAACAACTGGAGAAAATGTTCAAGTCTATATAAAGTTGCCTATAAGCTGGAAAGTGAACATGTTCAATCTCCATTTATATTTTAGTGCATTTTTGACAACTGTCACATCTTTTAAGTAAGAAAATTCAAACAGCATTAAAGAGTGTTTCATCAAATGCTTAAGGGATTAAAACAATATGGAGCAGAGAAAAAAATCATTGTGGTTGATGGAACTGTTATAAAACGAGAGAAGTCCAGGCAAAGTTTACAAATCCTTTGTCGTTTGAAAAGTCACAGATAATAAACTTTGGACACCTGTCCGATTTAAGGGTTTTTTCCTTACTCTTTCACATGTAAACATAGTGCTAACTTTAGTACTGAGATACAAACCCCATTCTGTTAAGCAACACTCTCTGCAGTTGCCATGATTTCCAAAGGATATAAATTTAGCCCTTGAATGAACAATGTATGAGATCTGCTCTGTAAGTACCTGGTGAAAACTGCTAACAGCAGCAATAATATGTCAACATAAAAAAACTATTTGAATCAATTACTCAGAGGTTCATCTTTGAAACAGCAGCTTCTTCTTAAAGCAAACAGTAAGCAACAGAAAATGTGCATTTGATGAAACATTCTTTGCACTGAAGAAACATGAAAATAAATATAATTCAAAGAAGTATAATTACGTTTCCAATACCTCTTTCTCAGACCTGTACTAGTTTACTGGTTCAAGAAGCTTGCATCACATTTTGTCATTTGTAATTTATATATTGCTTTGTGGGTAATTCAAATAAAATGTAGGTCTTGTAAAAGAATAAAAACATTGATAAGTATGCATGTGCCAGGGACCAAATTAGAGGGTTCTTTGGTGCAATTAGTCCAAATTCTCAGATTTGAAGGATAATATGTACCAATAAAAAAAAATCTGCTGTTAGACATTTACAGCAGTGCTCTGTCTTGCTTCACATTACAAGTCGAAAACAGCTGTTCTCAGTAAGCCAATTTTATTTTTTAAATCAGGCATTGCCAGGAAATTTTGTACATTAACCTGGATCAGCGATGGTTCTGTACCCTCTGTTGCTGTGAAACATGACATGAGCAAAAGGCAAAGACTGGTTCTCACAAAAACAACTGCTTCAAGTTAGGAACCAGAACAGTGTTATTTAAACAGTCTTCTTAGATATTTTCTTGCCTTTCTTAAAAACGAGCTTATTTTTAATGTAGCCACGCTTCCTTTTCGTAGTCTAGAAAGAAAAGACACAGTGTTAGTGTAGGTGTCCTACAGATTAAAAAATATATACACATGGTTGACTGCAATGGAAGACTGTCTTAATATTAAAGCCCTTGGCTCTTACTAAAGCTGGACTCCTTGAACAGTGAGTACCAGTAACTGTTCTATGCCAAGTATGCTGAAACATCTAAGATAAACTGGACTAAATCCCTAGCTTTAAGATAAAAGGAGCACCAGAGTATTCCGCAAATGTCTATCACATACACCTCACCATAAGGTGAATGAACCCCCACTTCCCCTCTGTGATAAATGCTTAGGCGTAATAATTACATTTCCAGGCATGATAGAATATAACACTAAACTAAGGAATCAGAAAATGTTAATGCTGTTCCTGGTTTAGCCCCCAAGAATGAGCAATGTGTCAGAAATACAAATTAAGTAGCTTTGTACCTATCTACAAAAATGAATATAATTACTCGACACATTCTACAAATTAGGTAGAAAAAATAGCACTTAAAAATGAGAAACAGAACAAAAACCAAACACCTAGGAAAAAACTCATTAACAATGAGTTTCATAGATCTTTCAAAAATAACAAATTTCTTAACACTTTGGATCCCACTAAAATACTTTCAACAGATGTTTTCTGGTATAAAAGAAACAAATTACTACAAATGCGCTGACAGAAATTACTGCAAAAATATTTGCGATGTTAGAATCTTACAAAATAAAACATAAGCATATGTCTGCCAATCCAACCTATCCTCCTATCCTCAGATATTGATGAAAGCAAATGTTTTTTGGAAACAAGTAATTTAATGTACCATCAAAACAGTGGGTTAGCAGAGGCTGAAGACTCAAAAGACTGACCCCTCCATTCAATTTTCACATTTACAACTCTTAGAGGAGGTTTCAGAAACCTAGGTTATATCCTCCTGTATCTTGCACATTTATGACGTTCAGTTTAAAACACTTTATAATTTTTTCTAACAGAAAAAAAAAAAACAAGGCAAAATACAAACCTTACTGATTAAGTTTGTAATAATTAGCCGCTGCTAGCTTGTTCACAAAATATGTTATCTTATTACTAGCTTACTTAAGGCAAAAGGTAAAAAATTTCAGAGGGCACAATTTAAAAAAATTCAAACCAGGTCAGGGAGCTAGTGTCTTTGTTACCATTACCTACAAATTTCTAACATGAAACCTCTTCTGTTAGATCATATGAAATGGCCTACATCTAGGCAAAGCATGTAAAACTGGGCTGGGCTCTCAAGTTGTTTTTTTCTCTGTGGGCAGTGAGTCTTTCCTATAGTCTTGGCCTACAGTTCCTACTGTCTCAGCCATGTCAGCTTTGCGGTGGCAGGAAAACTACCAAAATGACTGTTATACTCATACCCTCCACCCCTAGAGTAAAACCAGGGTGGAGACAGGAAAGCAAACAAATACCAGGATTCTTCTAGTGCTAGCACAGAACGGAAAACAGAAAGCCATGGAAGCCAGAAATTAAAAATCCATACTGTTGGCTACTAGAACACTGTGTAAGTTTTGGGCATACAAGACAGACTTTAAAAATAAATAATTTTTATTTATCCGTTCACTTATTTATTTGGGGGAAGTGATGGAAAGACAAAACAGGTCAAATTAAGAAAATTCACTATCATCAGTTAGGTAAGTTCAATAGCCCTGTTTTTCGGAACAAGCAGGCCATCACTGGGCGTAGATGGTACCTGCCTTGAGACTAGCAGCACTTGCTTTAACTTCTGCACCGATGTGACTCACCAGTTTCTCCTACCACGTCTGTGAGAAACCAGATCATCTGTCATTTGATATAAAAACTACCAGAGTAAGTGAATTTGCTATGACTAATAATGAGTGTCAGCTGTATGTGACATTAAATACAGTAGTCCAGATATGGCAATCTGTATCTGGCACGAAAGTATTAATTTAAAAAGTTTCTATTTACATATCATACAGCTAATTAAAGTTTCTATTTACATGTCATGCTTTAATAGTACAAACTGAAATTATCTGTATTCTGAATATATTTGAAGTATATTTTAAGTAATGTAAAAAAATAAGATAATTGCTTCAATGATTTAAAATACAGTAACCCCTCCTGCTTCATCCATAGTTTCAGTTATCTTTGGTCTGAAAATATTAAATCGAAAATTTCAAATTTCATGCTATTCTGAGCAGTGTAATGAAATCTCATGCTATCTACTCCGTCCCACCAGGTACATGAATCATCCCTTTGTCCAGCATCTCCATGCAGTATACACTCCCTATCTGTTAGTCACTTAGCAGCCAACCTGGTTATCAGATCAACTGTCATGGTATCACAGTGCTTGTGTTCAAAGAACCCTTATTTGACTTAATAACGGTCCTGAAGCACAAGAGTAGTGATGTTGGCAATTCAGATGTGCCACAGAGAAACCCTGAAAAGCACTTCCTTTAAGTGAAAAGGTATGTACATATTAGAAAAAAACATAGTTTATACACAGGGTTTGGTACTACCTGCAGGTATCTACTGGGGTCTTGGAAGGTATTCCCCAAGGGTGGGGTATGGCTCACTCATGTGAGCAATGTAAACCCAAGCACCGTTCATGACTTAAGACTGAAAATGATCTAATAATAATTAGTATTATAATAGTACCACCTTCAAATACAACTTAGTATATTTCATGACTGCTCATTATTTCCCATTTCCCACAGAGGGCAATCTATGTAAATACTCATTTTTAGTAGTCTTTGTAGCAAAGATTAGATCTATTTGGCTTAAGTGAGCAATAATGACCTCCAATAATATACTTTATATCTTATTAAATATTTATTTCAAAAGGACTATAATAGTTTCATCATCATAATTCCTGCCTATAAGCTTTGTCACAATAATTACATTTAAAAATAATTCTCTTAATAAAAATGATTTTTTTATTCCGGATTCAACCAACTTAAGCTTCTTCTTTATTCAATGATTAGTAAATAACATTATAATAAAAACAGAACATGAAAATGCAATATAAATTTGCTCTGACCAAAAGATGAGGAACCGATCATAACTATTACTTGAGTGTTTGGCATTCTTATGGCCACAGACACATCTTACTTTACAAATTAAGTCTTACTAATGGCAATTAGTAAACTAAAGCCAGAATGTCTCTGGAGAAATCTCAGTTTGGTTCACTGATAACCACTATGCTATCCAAAAAAAGTTGCTGGTTGGGATATCTGAAATGCTCAGTTTGAAAGGAATGCCACTACCTTGCTAGTTACTTTGTATATAAGTGATATTCTTTATAAACCTGGCAAATGGAAATTAGCAATTTTCAGTAATTATTTTTCAGACAACCAACATCACTTCACTTGACACCTACCTTCTTTGACAAATACTTCTGTTTTGGGAAAATGTTGGTGACTCGAGGTTTGTGATCTAGTGTTTCTCTGTTATCAGGTGCTTTCACTTTATATATCCTTACAAGCCAGTGTTCTGATGTAAAAGCCTCCTCCAAATGCTTGAATTTAATGTCCTTGTTTCCAATCTCAGCATTACGTGTTCGATCAAAACCTGGGGGTGTACGAAAATCCAGCTGCAAAAGTGACCATATTGGATATTAACCATATTGGAAAACATTCAGTATTAGAAGGTAGTGAATGCTATCATCAGAGTAAAACTCTCTCCCTTTAAATTAGAAAAAGAAAATCAGAGTAATGTATTGTAACAATTCTCATATGCTACTAACTAGATAGGAAAAAATCAGGAAGAGAGAAACTAAATACATCAGAATTACAATTTCACTGAATCCTTAGAGTGGGTAAGAAACCTGCAGGCATAAAAAAACCCAAACAGCAAAATGAAATACATCAAAGCCCCTTTTATAGGTATATAGAAAGAGCACACAGAAGGGACTTTTGTGCCTCAGGGTCTTGCACTATCTATTCTCTCAGCCTGAAGTTCTTCATTTAGCTCTTGTGCATGGCTGGCTCCTTTCTATCCTTTGGTCTCAGCCCAATTACCATTTCTTCAAGGAAGAATTTTCTTTTCTTTTCCTTCCTCCCTTCCTTATCCTCACCCAAAGACATTTTTCTGATATTTTGTTCAGATAGAATGGGAGGGAGGGAGGGAGGGAAAGAAAAACATTGACATGAAAGGGACACATCGAGTGGTTGCCACCCACACGACCCAACCAGGGCCGGGGACAAACTGCTACCGAGATACGTGCCCTTAGCGAGAACCGAACCTGGGTCTCTCCAGACCGCAGGCCAATGCTCTAACCGCTGAGCCAAACTGGCCAGGGCTCTTTTCTTTTTTATACTTAAAAAGATACATGAATTTGACATAAAACTAGGTCAGTCATTAAAGTATAAACTTATTTATTTTTTAAAACTTATTTATATTACCATTTAGTATTGATTTATAAAACCTCCACTTTCTTGAGATTGGTGGTAGAAGTCTCCTCCATTGTTTCCTCATTTTTTACTCTATAGTGTTCACTGCTAACAGTTTTTCTTTTATAAGCTGCATTATGACTTTATCTTATTCACTGTGGCTTAATCTCTGCAGTATTATTTGTTAAATAAATAAATGCACAAATAAGCATACAACATCCTAAAAGTGGTAACTGTAAATAAGTTTACAAGGGCAAACCAAGGGAGGATTTATAAGGAATTAAGAGATGAAAAAATTGGGGGTGGGGGTAGGAGATTTTAAGAAATTAAGAAATTCTCAGACTAAGTTTATGTTGACACACAGTATAAGTGAATTCAACTTTAAAACAAAAACTAAATCTACTGTAATGAGAGAATTACTTGTTCATGCATATCTATACAATAGAAAAGTTATACTTCATGTCTTAAACATATATTATTGAGTAGAAAAGGCATCAAAATGAACACATGCTAGAAGCATGGCTATAAACTTAAAGGAGAGAAAGAAAACTACTGCTATCATTAGTGAACAGAGAAACTCTTTGACCCGTTTTCTGAGGTAGCTAATTATTATGGCTTAAATGCTTCTTTCTTAACATGAGTTTAGAAACTAGGCAGTGGCCTTCAGAAATCAAAACACAAAAACCTAAATTTAGTAGTAAAATTACTGTCTATTTTTTAAAGCTACCTGCTGATTAATTCCACATTGACAGCAGTGAACATTTATTTTGATCCCTACCTAGTGTCTGTATAAAATGAAACAAGCAATTTTCCCTCTGCCTCCTAGTATCAACTTAACCAGAATGCAATATGGAATAAGGCAGTTTTCACTGAAATCTTGGTGTGAATGTTTAACTTTGTATTATAGCCATGTGATCTAAGAGCCTTAGAAATCAAGTCATTAGTGCAACCCCCATTATATACAGAGAAGAATAAAGAAAAAACAAAACAAAAACAAGTCCCGGAAGGATGTGACTTGTCAAAGGATTACATGACTTGATAGAACCAGATCTAAAACCCAAGTATTATGACAGAGGGTCCATTGTTTGTTCTTTTTTGCCACAATACCCCTTTGCAAATTCATTCATTGAGTGGACCCTTAAGCTTTTGTAACATATCATTCTAATTTCTTAGGAAACTCTAACCCAGATAGTCCTAGCTATCGGTGGTAAAGAGAACAGGGGATAGAATGAATATCTGACATGTGCACATAATTCAACTCTTTAATTTCAGGTTTTCCCCCACCAAGCACCAAAGTAATCTACTTAAGATCACACAGTTTCCTAAGATGGAAGACCTCTTCCCTGGAAGAACAATGTTTTCAAAAAGCATGAGGCCAAAAGGCAAGCAAAGATTGGATGCCAGCCTAGTGTTAAATAATCCCATGTAAGTTTCAGAAATCTAAATTCAATGTCAGGGGTTCAGAGGGGAATCTTTAGATAAGCACATCTTTTAGCACAACCAAATATTACTTAAAAAAAAAAAAAAGATAGTAAAACTAATGTAACTAACCTGCATTTCCCCAAATCTGTAATATGACATTTTATACATAAGGCAATTCAGTAAAGTGGGGGATCCTGCTTTGTCTACACGAAATTCTCCTTGTGGGGTGAAATAGTCACTTTCCTATAAGAAAGAAACCAGAAGTTTGTGTCAGTTAAATTTAACATTTAACATATTCAAATTTATAGGTTCCCTTTCCCATTTCCCCATAAAAACCAGCTTTATAGGTATATTCATAAAGCCATATTTAGTTACATATAAAAAAATATATCAGAGGATTAATTTATAAAGTTAATATGATCCCTAAAAACCCCCCCACAAAACTATTATGAATGTTTTTAAAAGCTGAATCTATAAGTCACTTATAAAAATAAGCCCAGCTGGTGTGACTCAGTGAATTGAGCGTCATCCCAAGACTGAGAGACCTGGTTCAATTCCCAGTCAAGGCACATGCCTGGGTTGCAGGCTCGATCCCCAGTGAGGGGTGTGCAGGAGGCAGCCAATCGATGTTTCTCTCTCACTTTGATGTTTCTCTCTCTCTCTCCCTTCCTCTCTAAAAAAATCAATAAAAACATATTTTAAAAATAAAAAATAAACAAGAGTACCTAAGAAAACAACAATACTATCTGTTGGAGAAAAGGCAATTAATCCTATCAGATTATTACCATGACATAAAACCTCAATAATTAAAAAAGAATGGTAGCAACACCATGGGTTTAATACCAATCAGGCTCACTCTTTCCAAATGCGCTCACTCCCATTACTCCTTTTCAGATTTTCTTTAATTGTTCCATATGAACTCTAAAACCAGTTCTTTAATTGGGGCTGGGAGGGTATTTAGAAAACTCCTATAATAATTTTTATTGGGATCTCATAAAATTTCCAAATTGATCTCTACAAAGGCCAATTTGGCACTATAAATGGAAATTCCTAGTCTAGAAATTTACCCTCCAGAGATACTTATACATGGGCAAAACAATGAGTGTAAAAGTTATTTATTGCACCATTGTTTATGAGACTAAAAACCAGAAACAACCTAAATGTCCATCAATAGGGACAGGTTAAATAAATCATGGTGCACACATACAATGGAATACATTGTGCCAATGGGGGAAAAAATAGAATAAAAAAAGCTCTTCATATTCTAATATAGAAAAATCTCCAAGATACATTGGAAAAAAAAAAAGCAATAACAGGGTGTATATTTTACAATTATATCTGCTTGAATAAGAATCATAAGAAAAAATATGTGATTACCTTGAGCTCTTTTTCTTTTTTGGGGGAAGGGTGGTGGTGGTAAAATTATACTGTATATATCCCTTTATATTTTACTTTTGAACCATGTGACTCTATTACCTATTCACAAAGTTTAAAAATACTGAATTTAAAAAGCACAGAATTTTAGTATTTCTATATAAATGTTCAAAGCATTTATCTGGATCCATCACATGTCAGAATTTTAACACCGCTAAAGAAAGTCTAAATGAAAATCACTGAAAAATTAAATCAAGATTAATACAAGAAAATACTTGTATTTTTTCGTATGATTCTGGAGCGAGGACAAATCTGTGGTAGGGAAGCTAGCCCAAGAAAGAGAAGAATATAAACACCACATATTAGGTGAGTCAAGGAAAAAAAAAAACAGGGCAATTTTCACATAGACAGCTTGAATAGAATGAGTAAAGGAGATTGTCAGTGTGGGGAAAAGCTGACAGAGGGACAAGAGGCCAGCAAAGAAAAGTGAAGTGTGAAGGGGTTTGCATTCTGGGCAAAGGAGCTTGGATTTTATACCATTACCTTATCACAGAGATTATTAGGTACCAGCCACTAGGCTGAGGCTTCACCTACATTACTACAAAGTCTCAAAACAGCACTACAAATGAATTATTCCTGGTATTCCCATTAGTGATCATCTCAGGCTGCTTTAATCACCATTAGAACACCAGAACCTAGAACAAGACCTAGTGCTCAAAGCATATAATGCTGATTGATGAAAAATAACTTGCCCATGGCACCAAGCCGACAGTAGCACAGTTTTAGTTCTGATGTCTGTCTGGTTTCAAGATCCTTTTCCTTAATCAACTGAAGCCTTTTAAACTGTAAAGTGACATGATCAATGTCATGTTAGATTAGGAGAGGGAATAAGACTAAGGCAAAGGCAGCAATTTCAAGGTCGGTGTTCTATTTCAGGTTTATGATTATAAGGGTCAGTTACAGAGTAGAAGCAATGGAAATAGAAAGGGCAGAATTGAAAAGCTATGAAGGAGTCAAAACAAGAGTGTTGAAAAGATTGCTTTGGAAAACAAGTATCAGGTATGAATTTCAAAAGTTTTAAAATTGGGAAAATGCTTATAGTATCTTAGTTAATAATAGTCATAGTGAGAGTCTAGCTTGGGGGATAAAATAATAAAAACAAATACTATGTAATTAGCAAGATAAGAGAATTACTTGGACACTGTGAGCTATCTTTAACACACCCGAACTAACAGTTTCTTACCCGAATGTCTTTTGGATGTTCCCCTTCAGCTATCCTAACCATCCAGAGAAATTTGTTGATGTCATCACCAGAATAGCCAATAACCCCTCCAAAAATAACCAAAACATAATCAACATCCAGACTCCTCATGATTTCATAGGCTGCTGTTTCATTTGAAGACATAGCTTTTCCCACCTACAGAAAAAAAATGAGAATGTGTGTACCTAGTCCCACAATATGCTAAAAAATAAATGTACATTTTACCTTAAAATGGAATGTACCTCAAGAATCAGATTTACATGGAATTCTTATTTTATAGAAACGAATTCAAAAATTTACTGAGTTTTAGAAGCACCTCACTCACTATAACCAGTTATAGCAGAAATGTCAAAAATCAGAATACATGTTTTAATATTTTGCTAGTAATTGTATCATGAAATTAACATTTTAATATAAAAGCAGGCAAGCCTAAAAGAAATAGAATTTCTCATTACCTCAAGGCCAGGTATGACCAGCAATCTAGCTACCAGACAACTGATGATTAGCTACAACACTAATACAAATAAAACTCATTTGGTTAACACCCATTAACTTTTTAAAATCTTTAAATAACAGAGAAATGATTACCTTAGTTCATGTAAATTAGTTACCTAACAGAGTGAATATACTTTGATTACAATCCATTTTTACATATTTGCAAATTTTATCTTAATTTATAAAATAGAAAATACAAGTCAAATTTAGTACTTTAAGTTTCAGATTGTGCCTCGTTCTCCAATGAGCTAATATCATGAGATCTGCTAGAAACCAGCTTACAGATCTGAATAATACATAAGTAAATACTGTTCTTAAAAAAACAAATATTCATAACCCTAACACACTTTATGGAATGAATGTATAGAGAGAAATTTTGAAAATTCAGCAAGCAAAGAGTACTTTCACTTATATTTATTTATCCTTCTTAATCACAAGTGAAGCCTGATTACTAAGCAGTAAAGATTTATAACTTTGATCTTTTGTTTACCAAATTCTTACCAGTGCTATGTGGCTGTTATTCCAGGTATTATTATCCACCAAAGTAGTTCTATTAGCCATTCCAGCTATCTGATAGCCATAATCCCACCAAGACATCACTCGGGCATGTTCATCAGTATTTTGCCTTAGCCAAAAGTAAGCTTCTCGAAAATCATCTAAGATATTCCTGGTGCTGAAAAGAATCACAATATTATTTTAAATAAGATCTTATAAATGTGAAGAGGGTAACTTAAAATCTTGAAGTGTTCAGCCATTTAATTTATTTCATATTTTAAAGATGGTCTTTAAAAGCCTCAAAAATGGGGGTGGGGGAAACCAATGAAGAGCTAGACTAATGCTTGTTAAACTTTAATATGTATACAAATCTCCTGGGTATCTTGTAAAAAACAGATTCTGATTTAGTAGTTCTGGAGTAGGGCCTGATTATTTTGCAAGCCTAACAAGAATCCAAATGAAGCAGAAGCTGGGGTGGCAATATATAAATAATCTCTTCTTCGATTTTAGTTGCATCATAATCACCTACAGAGCTTATTAAACCACAGATTGCTGAGCCCCACCCTTAAGCTTCTGATTCAATAGGCTTTACGTGGGGTCAAGAATTTGCATTTCTTACAGGCTTCCTGGTAATGATGTTGCTGTACAGCAGGTCCTTGGATAACATTCCTTATAAGTTTCAATGTTGTTGAGATGTGATAGGAACTAAACTCTTGTTCAATTAGCCTATGGTAAAATTGGTTTTGTTATATGTTGTTTCACTTAGTTATAGAACCTATCTTTGATGTTAAGTGAGAACTTACTGTATATCCAAGGACCACATTTGAGAAAAACTAATGTATATGCTATGAATGCAAAAAGATTCTGGACAAGAGCATGAAATAATGATTGCTACCCAATTCTACCAAAGGCAGGGGGTAGCTGCAAGAAAAACATGGTAGATTCAAATGCAGAGCCTCACAAACATTCTGTTTTTGAATTCTTAACCAATAGAGGCAGAAAAAAAAGTGATAGGTATAAAATCCTTTTGCAGCCAAGTTATTTTCTTACCCATCATGATTGTAAGAGGCCAGGACCACACTTGGACTAGAGTAGGCATTGCTTGTGACCCAGGTACAGTGGACTGCAAACATCATCAATAGCATCAGCATCAACATGGTAACAATGCTTTTTATATTAGGACCTAATCCCTCTTCAGTTTTTTCCTGTTCGGTTACATGTTTCCTCACTTTACCTGCCTGAAGATACAAAAAACTGGTTAGACAAATTCATCATTTGACTTGCTTCATTGAGACATTCAAGGGGAAAAGTTGGGAGAATGTTAATCTGTCAATTTAATTCTTTGAGAAGAAAAATGTATAATCATCAGGTATTCTTGTGTGAATAGATGTTTTCTAAAAATTATTAGCAAGGCAGAGTCTCAAGTCAAATGTGAATGAGGAGGTTTCCTGGGACTATACCCAATCCAGGAGCTGGCTACAGACCAAAATAACTCCAGTAAGAAGCTGCTTTCAAATCCAGTAGTCCTTATGTTTTACCTAAGTACAAAGGAGGTAACTAAACATCCTCCTTCTGGCAAGCTTTTCTTATAAAACCCAAATTCCTCATTCTGAAAATGACATTGTCCAGCTATAATCCAGACCACGTAGGACAAAAACTGCATTATCAGAATCAATCTCCCCAAACCAACAAACTTGTTAAAATTAAGATTACATTTTTGAAAACAATTAAAAAAGCAAACAAAAAAACCACCAAAAACATCAGGACAATAGAATAGAATCGTAAGTTTTAAATTGTAAAGTTATTTAAGAAACCACAAAATAAAACATAAAACACAAAAGCAGGCTGTGTGCTTTATTAACACAAACCTGTATGAATTACAGTGGACCTACAGTAAGAAAAGCTTTTCAAAGTTAATATTTATCCTGGAAAGTTTCATTGCTTATTGGTATTTTAAAACCTAGTTAATACTCACATAAAGTTTAGTATGTCACCTAAGACAAGTGCTATAATTCTTAAGAGTCTTTTTCACATTTACACAAACATGATCTTACTCTGTTACCTGAGAGAGTAAAAGCAAATTACGTGCCCTGGCTGGGTGGCTCAGTTGGTTGGAGCGTTGTCCAGTACACCCCCTCACCCAAGGTTTTGGGGTTCCCTGGTCAGGCCCTGTACAGGAGGTGGCCAAATGGATGTTTCTCTCTCGCTCTCAAAAATCAATGAAAGCATATCCTTGGGTGAGGATTTAAAAATAAAAAGGAAATTAGCCCCGGCAAGTTTGGCTCAGTGGTTAGACCATCAGCCCGTGGACCAGAGAGTCTCAGGTTCAGCTCCTGCTAAGGACACATACCCTCGGTTGCAGTTCGTCCCGGGCTCTGGTTGGGGTCGTGCGAGTCGCAACCAGTTGATGTGTCTCTCTTACATCAATGTTTCTCTCTCTCTCCCACTCTATCTGAAGATAAATGCAAAAATGTCCTTGGGTGAGGATAAAATATACATACATACATATATATATATATATATATATGTATAAAAGGAAGTTATATCGGCCAGCTGCCTATTCTAACAAACTGGAGGCTTTCTTTTTTATAAAGGTATTTATATTTATTTCCTTACTATTCAATGAACCGAATATTTTAAGTTTACAGTGAATATGAACATCAAGGATAAGCACTTGTGCATATGGTTTCAGAAGGGTTTATAATGCTCAGATTTATGTAGTTTAGTAAACCACTAGGTTTTTGCTCTCAAAAACAGAGGGATTTTAGGTAAAACCTGACCAAAATAAAATGAGAATTCCTAGTCTGATTACATTCTATTTTCTTATTCTTAGCTAAAAGACTAACCAGGATTCAAACTGAGGCAAACAATAGAGACCAACTAAAAATGTCAGTTTGTCTACATCCTGTTTATTCAGACTTCTTAACATTTACAGTTCTTACTATGGTAGAAAAATAAAGCACACAAAATTTTTAAAGGCCTTACTTTAGATTCCCCACCTTATCATACAAATTTCCTGGGTTTCTTTTGTCATCCTCATCACTGCTGTCCTCCACAGGTGGGTTTTCCCTTTTCATGTCATCCCCCAAATAGTGCTCAAAAACATTTGAGAAGGCAATTGCAGACAGCATACAGACGACGGGAGTCAAAGTCAACATCAGCCGCACCATCACTCCAGCAAAGTAGACAGCGCTGATTGCGTACAGAGCAACTGCAAAGACAATCTCTCTTATAACACAACACTTCAGAAAAGAAAATGTTCACAGGAAACGGAACTAAATCCTTAATATGACATTATAAACCAAATCTAAAAATAAACATCTCATAAGAAAGCAAATTATTTTTAAATTAATACTGACCAAATGATTTAAGTCATATTTACAAATTATAGCTAATGTTGACTAAATAAACACTACCAACAATTTAGAGAAATGTATCATGATTTAAATTAAATTATAGTTATGGGGAATGAGACAAATTCATTATTTGTCATCATCACATATTAGAAATTCCAGTTGATGGGATGAAAACATATTTAAGGAATTATATTATCAGGCAGAGTAAGTTTATAGAATCAAATAAAGTCTGTGAAAAGCTAGTGCTAATATCTGGCATAAAGCTTGCTTTAAAGTAAAAATAGAAGAAAAGAATATAATTTATTAGTCAAAAAAGGAACTTCTAAGGTTACTGGTAGAAGACTTTAAAAAACATTTTGAAAAGTATTTCCCAAGCCACAGCCTCCCACATCCTGTGCTGACCACAGGCAAGGCTCTGCCGCCCTTTCAGGCTGAAGGCTGTATGACTTTGTAAGTCAATGAACATGTGAGCGCCTATCTCATCTGAAGTTCATTAAAATTTAATTTCCTGACTAAAAAATGCATTATACCATGTTCTTAACTGTATAGCTTAATAAATTTTTACATATGCACACACCTATATAATTATCACCCATATCAAAATATAGAGCCTCCTCAGAAGGGTCCCTCATTCTTCTTCCCAGTCAACAACTGCTCTCCCCTCTGCCTATAGAATAAGTAATCACTACTTAGACTTCTAAAGCATTAATTTAGTTTTCTTATTCTTGAACTTTATTTTATAAATTATACGAAAATGTTCTCTTTTGTACAAACTTTTAAAATTTACCCATGCTATTCTTTAATTAATAGCTGTGTTGTATTCCATTACACAAATACATCGGGATTTATTTATCTATTCTACTGCTAATAACCTTTAGAATGTTTCTAATAAGGGGCTATTATAAAGTTGCTTTGTGCGTTATTAAACATTCCTTTGTTGGACACATGCACTCACTTCTCTTGGGATTAGGACTTCTGAACCATGAGGTGGGCAATATGTTTAAGCTAAATCTTTCTGAATGATGCAGTATTAATGTGGCCTTTTCCAAAGGGACTGGTCTACACAAACAAGAATGAGTGTCATCCTTTGGTTAGAACACATGCAAATGCTATTTTTTTTTCTCCTGACTTCACTCTGGAATAGTAACTTGAGTGTCACTCAAGGTCCAGGCCCCATGCTTATATATAAGTTCAAGTCCTGGTACTACAAATTATTTAGTTTTTCCAGTTCTAGTTTTCATCATGTGCAAAACAGCCACAGCACGGTTTTTGTAATGATTGGTCAATGAAGTCTTTGGTATCTGCTTATTTTGTCCATTTACATTTTGATGTCAGATCCTAAAAACTTGCCTTTTAAAAACGGTTTGTATTTCTAAGTTTTGGTAATTGAAAATTCACACAAATCAGTGAAGAGGGTATTTACTTAAAAGTGAAGATTCTTATTCCATTACAAAAAGTACTTTACACTGAAATTTCAATGGACACCCCTAAAAACTTTTCTACTTAATTAGATCTAACTTAGAAAGTTAAGTCAATACTATACTGTAAACAAAGTTATAATTTCCAATTATTAGCCACAGACTATAATAACCTCTCAGAAAACATAATCAATTGAATGAAAATGTTATATACTAGTCCTAAATTAAAACAGTTAAATATATATAATGCAAATTCACTGGTTTAAGATTAAGGTTTTTCTTAATCTTATGATGTATGCAAAATGAGGGAAGAAATTTATCTTGACTGTATAGAGTCATACCAAGAACAAAACTTTAAAGTGAAGTGATAATCTCAACAATAAAAATAATTGTTCTAAATCTAAGTATTTATTAAAAATCTCTTACCAAATACTCTTTCATCGTTGATATTTTTAATGCAGAACCATAGGCCTGCTGGGAAGGTACACACAAGAATATGTAGATCAAAGAAGAAAGACACCCAAGTTGTAGGTTGATGCTCAGACACTGATGCAATAATTGGAATATGTATTTTTGCATACCTGGTATTTAAAAAAGTTAATATTTAAAATTAAATAGAATCCTTTTTAGATGAAAAAATTTTATTTGATTGTAGATATGGTTCCTATTTTTCATCCCTTCTCACTTAAAAGTATATTCCAACATAACCTGTTGTATTGGATATAAATGTGGTCCACACTGAGAAAACTAAAACTAACACGCCTTATTTATATAAGGCTAGTTATATTATAAGTGTTGGCTCTAAATTTTAATAAAAACTCTTTGCATTTTAACTTCGCACCTCCTACATCATTTCACTAACCTTCTGGACTTATTACTAGCCGAAATACCTTATCCAGATATCATATTGCCACAATACCTTTCTTAACAAGGCAATGGCATAGAGACAGGTGAAAGAAATGTGAAGGACAGGACAAATTATTCCTGAAATTCCCTGAGATTCCAAAGTAGTCCATCAAAGATTAGAAAGCAAGAATAAGTATGACTGACAAAATTGTAACCTAGCAATTTACCTAATCAGAATAACTGTCTACAACTGGGGATTTTCTCAAACTCTCTGGTGATCCACTGGCTGATCTCTTCAATATGTGTCCAAATGTTTTTTCAGTCATTGGTACATATTTGCTTATGCCCTTTAATTAGACCTTTTGTTATCACATCAAAAGGAAGGCCTATTCAATAAACTGTGGTAGGGTTTATACTGGGCTATCTAGGGAGTAACAGACAGAATAATGGGAACATAGAAGAGAGGTAAATTATCATCCTTAGGAAAACAAATAAGTTATATTGAACTAGTTGTCTAATTTAATGTCAATTTTTAAATTAATTCACTTTATAATAGCACAAATATTCTCTAGTATATTTAACAGATTAAAATATCAAGAAACTTAGATAATGTGGCATTAAAAAACATTAAAATTTTTTTCTTCATATCTACAGTATATGGGGCTTATAACATAGCACCTAGCCTTATTGATTAAAAAGTAAATATTACTAATAGATGGAAACTTTGAATACATTAGTAAGAATAACGATCAATTATTAAAATTGCACAAATGTTATCTGAATTGTTTTGACAAACAAAACTAAAATAAGGAGTTGACCATGCAGAACAGAAATATATGACTTGCATATCATACCAAACATGCATTATAATAAAGAAAAAAAATACAAGGAATTCAACATTTACTAAACTGATATATGGTAGATACTTTAAAAATGTTACCCAAGACTGACAATATAAGAACAGGGGGGAAAAAATTCTATTTTAATGAGGGCAATAAGTTATCTACACTTACCCAGTGTCCCACAGTGAGTAAAACCTGCCACTCCATGGTGCAATGTAACCTTAAAAGGAAAAATGTAGAGGAAATTACTCTTCCTTTTATTATTTTTGTTTATTTTATTGGTTTTATGTTTACTTATTATTATTGATTAATTTAACCTAATGTTTAAAACTTTTCAGTTTTGTTCTGTGGGTGACAACATATTTAAAGGGCTGGCAGTCAGATAAAATGCTAGCAATCAAAGAAAAACAAATATCCATGGAGATTACATTTCCAGAGAAACACAAAAAGTTGACAGATAAAATTGTAGAAAGTTTTCCAATTCTCCCTTACACTTCAAGTTGACTAGTAAAATATAGCTAAGACAGTAAGATAGCATTGGATAATATTAAAAAGGGGGAGGGTCTAAATTATCTAATACAGTATGCCAATTTAGGACAAATTACAAAGATGATTTTAATCATTCATGCCCTTTTTTCCTATCAGTGAATTCTTCATAGTTTTATGAGCTAGGCTGGTACATTAATTTAACAGTTGGAATGCCTTTAGAAAGAATACGACTTGCCCTGGGCTGGTGTGGCTCACTGGATAGAGCGTTGGCCTATGCACCAAAGGGTTGTGGGCTCGATTCTGGTCAAAGGCATGTACCTGGGTTGCAGGTTTGATCGCTGGCCCTGGTCAGGGTGCAACCAATCAATGTATCTCTCACATTGATGTTTCTCTTCCTCCACCCCAACCTTCCTTCCTTCCACTCTAAAAATCAGTGGAAAAATATCTTTGGGTGAGTATTAACAAAAAAAAGAATTTGACTTGTTCTAGGGACTAGTGAAGTCAGGGTCAGAAAATAACTTAGAATCCAGAAACAGATTGAAACTGATTAGTAGACTGTTTAAAAATAGGACAAAGAATATAGCACACAAGAGGGCAAGATGCAGTAGGTTAACATTGGAAGCTTTGAATTTTATACATTTTGGACCTATTCACCTAATCAACTTGAAAGTGGATTTATCATATCTTGAAGCACCAAAATTAAGATACTGTTAAATAAGAAATAATTACAATTTGTAGTGCTATGCAGATTTTAGAACGTTTGACTACTATTTTCATATTGTTTGTACAGAATGTAACTCCAGTATTTGACCCTCTAGGATAAATGGAACATATACAAAATTTGTAAAATAATTACCCTTTTGAATAAGCTAGAGACAAGAGTCACATCCTACAGGAAATTACACCTACCTGTATAAGTCAAATAGATGACACTAAGGAATACAACACCTGCAGCTACTGATACACCCAAAAAGAAAAGGGTCTGGAACTCTTGTTTTGTTAATCGGTCTCTCAGATACTGCAAGAAAGCATAAGCTTGCAGCAATGCAAAGACACCTAAAGAAAAAGGTCATATAGAGATTCTTAGAACACCCTGTACCATTCATAATGAAGACTAGTAATTTCATCTAACCAACTTTTTCTGTCAAACAATAATCCAAAAATTCTGTTACACATTTTTCTTTTTAAATAATCAGACTCCCCATACATGGACCAAGGAAGAAAAACCCCATTTCAATAAGCCTATTTAGCATATTCAATTCCTCCCTTTGTCCCATATTTTAGTGACATGTTTTCTAGGCGGAAAAGATAGAAATGTCATTAAAAACAATCCTACGATTTACTGAAGGAAGAAATTACTTGGATCAAGTGAATTCTAATGTACAGTTATCATTTATATTTGAGTGACAGTACATAACCTTAATTACCTACTTATATATAATTCTAAATTAGTAGATATAAGGGTGAGTGCTAAGATAAACAAAATTAAGCAGTAACAATGAGAAGTTTTTATTGCCAAAATGTGCAAAACACAACACAAAAACACTAGGTGTAAGACTAAACAAAGACATAAAAACCCTAACCCATTTGGGACATTGATTTAAAAAAAAAATTTAGTCCTAGAAGTTATTTTTTAAAGTTAATTTTAGAATGATTAAATACATATTATCAACAATTTATATTTTAGGAAATATAATAATGCATATACATAAAGAGGTCATTGTATATCTACATAGACACTGCTATACACAATTGTAAAATCAAAACTGAATATGTATTTCTCTCAAATTACTACTTGGTAATTTTAAAACATCACATTAAAAATTTAAGTAAAAGTATTTCACAGATGTGCTATATAATAGTAACTTGTGGGTTCTAAACTTTTCGGGTTTGTCATCCCCCCTTGCCAAGATTCTCACTGAGAATCTAATGATAAAAGCTATTAAACATCACCTCAGGAAGTTAAATATACTGTATTTATAAAATAACTAGCTACAGCCTTCGTATGGGCCATGGATCTCGTGCTGAGAAGCTTGGATAAAAGTTTTATTCACAGATCCCCCATTATTGTTAATTGTGACCCAGGTTAATAATGGCAGAGAACTCTGCTTTATGTGGAGGAGAATTATATGACTTTCTAATCAATATAAAGGTCATTAATTCCAGTTAGTATATATAGATAAAATAAAAATGAAATGTTCCATCTAAATTTGCTGAAATGGAAACTCAGTGGTATAACAACTCAGTGTACAAATACTGTGTACTATTAGTTTATACAAAACAAATATTATTTAGTGTTTGCAAATAACATGAATTGTGGAAAAAGAGATGTTCTGCCTTTTCAAAATGGTGGTAACTGGGAAGATAGGCACTTTTGGGAGCACAAGGGCAGAAAGTCTCAATAAAACTATGTCATTTTCATTATACAGTGATGTTCTAGAACCAATACAATGAAAATAAAGAAAAAAAATTTAAAACCCACTTCATTCCCTTGAAGACTGGCTAGCCACACATTCATATATTCTTCAGAAGAAGGAAAATAAATATTTTCCTCATACCTGCAGCTGCCATGTGTTCACTTGTTCTGATTGGCTGGAATCCCACAAAGGGTATCTGCATGGATAATATTAAACCCACAATGTAGAAAGTGCTATAAGCTAAAAAGACAAAATAGGAAATAAGATAATTTATCATCATTAAGTACTTCAAACATAAATGTATACATAACTCATTTCTTTTTAGCAAAGTTTTAACTGAATTTATTTTAAGAATAGAATCTTAAAGTGGCTGTTCTATTTGACAGTTAATTATACTTTATATAAGTCATGAAAAATCTTTCTGTCAATGTAAAAAAAATATTTAAAGTACTTTATTTTGAAAACTACCATTTAGAACAGTTTAGGAGGTGGCTGGTACTACTTTCCACACCTCTAAATGGAATCAAGCAGTTTTCAATCTATCATTAATAATAATTGACACAACCTAAGAAGCTACATAACGTATAAGTAAACATCATTCCTACTGCCATTAATCCAAAGCATGCATGATAGCTGCTATTGTCTCAAAAGCTCAAGTATTTAACACTTTTTAAAATCCTCACCTGAGGATACATTTTCACTGATTTTGAGGCGGGGGAGGGGAAGAGGGAGGGAAGGAGAGAAACACCAATGTGAAAGAGAAACAGACTGCTTGTCTCCCCTATGTGCCAGATCTGGGATCAAACCTACAACCTAGGTATGGGCCCAACCAGGAATCAAACCTGCAACCTTTTGGTACATGGGGGGACACTCTAACCAAATGAGACCCACCTGCCAGGGCTCACACCTGTTTTATAGTCTCCTACCACTCACTGTACAGTACTTAATAGTAAAAAAAAAAAAAAATGTCCACCAAGTTTTCTGTGATTAAAGAAGGACTTTGTACGCAGAAGTCCAGCCATATGACAGACTAGTTACTAAATTTATTAAGGTCTAATATAGGAAACCTGTTTGCTCTTGGCATTGAATATATTATAATATTCTTGGCTTATATCAACCTAAAAGTGTAAGCAAATTGGGAAAGGGGTACAATTTGTATAATAAACTTGTTTTGCATTTAGGTGTTCACAGTCCATTATAAGCTAATCACAGAGAAAGTATTTAAAATCACTGCAATAAAAAAATTATTTAGAAATAAAAATGAAACCCATCTGAAATAAGTTAATGTGAAATTTATTCCACTTACAAAGCTTATTTATGTCATTTTACAAAGCACAGTCAATACCTAGTTGTTGGCAAATACAGAACTCTATTAGAAAAAAAAAGGGGTATATTTAGGAAGAGAACTGTTACAGTCTGTATATCCACATGCTACACAGTGTATAGCACAGCATACAGCAGCATATACTTTCCTTCACCTAACTTACTTGAGAAGGAAAGTTTATCTGCTTTTAAAAGAAACCCACCTATAGAAGGTAAATTATGGGCTCATGGTTCAAATGTTAAGTTGCCTCCTAAGCTGTCTGTTAAGAGATGACTACTGTGTTAGGAAAAAGGTAAGTTCAAGTAAATTTAATATAAAGAACCAATGTATGTGAATCAAGTTTCCAATGATCTCAAGTCAATGGGAAATTGGTTGTCTAGGAGTCTGTAGAAGTAATCCACTCAGTAATGTACTTTTAAGATATATTAATGTTTGAATGGAATTACCCTCAATGAGATACTTGAACACAAATGCAATAGAAGTTAAGTAAACAAGAATTTCTCTATCACAAGATTTGAGCTGTCAGCCTATTTGATTGATGAGTTTTCTAATATCAATGTTTCTTTTACAAGTCAGTATTTTGTAGATGTCTCGACAGAGTCACAGAGGCAGAATCAGGAACAACAACAAAAAAGAAAGAGCAAGCTCATTATTTGCCCTTGAACTACTTAAGTTTCAGTTTCCTCACTATAGAATGAAGGGTTTGAACAAGAAAATTTGCAGATTCCCCATAACAATAACCTAAGATTATATGATTAACAGGCTTTTAAATACCCAGAGCTGAGAACTCAAACCCTAGACAAACACTGAACGCACAGAAGTACAAGAAAGGCCAGGCTTGAGAAAACCTTGTCATTTATGTGTTTTAATTATAGTTAAGCCCACTTACATCCAAATATCATAATCACCTCTGAGGCTTGATTTCTCTTTTTTATAAACATAAATGAGCACTGAATATTATAACACTGCCATAAAATTTGGATTAAATATGATAAATGGCACACATTGCACAAAAAAGTAAAGACTTTAAAAAAAATTGAGGTAAAATACATATATAATCATTTCAAACCAACCAATTCAGGGGTATTTAGTGCATCAATATTGTGCAACTACCACCTCTCTGTAGTCCCAAAATATTTCATTACCCCAACAGAAAACCTCATACTCATTAGGCAATTTTGCTCCTCATTCTCCCCAGCCCAGCCCAACCCAAGGCAAACACAAATCTGCATGCATCTTTCTCTCTGGCTTGCTGACTTATTCTTAATTGCAAAAGTAATTTTTTTTTTTTTTTTTTGCTGCTGTTGTTTAAAAACACGGTAAAAAGTGAAAGCCTCTGGTCCGCTCACTTTCCTCTTAAGTCACATTTTCCAGAAATAATCACTAAAAGGTATGCTGGGCACACAAACAGTCATATTCACTCTCTCTTCAAATAGAAGTGTGTGTGCTTGGCAGTATAAAATCTTCAGCAATCACTTTCTTGGAAACTACTGATAAAGTTTCCTCAAGGATTCGCTTAAGTTCATTTCCAGGCATATTCAAAAAGAAAAGAATAAACCTGATAATATTCTCAATTTAGTGGTTTTATGCAACCTTGCAGAGATACTTTTTTTTTATCCTCACCCGAGGACATTTTTCCATTCTTTTGTTCAGATAGAGTGGGAGGGAGAGAGAGGAAGAGAGAGAGAGAAACATCGACGTGAAAGGGACACATCGAGTGGCTGCCACCCGCACGACCAACCAGGGCCAGGGACAAACTGCAACCAAGGTATATGCCCTTAGCGGGAACCGAACCAGGGTCTCTCTGGACCGCAGGCCGACTCTCTAACAGCTGAGCCAAACCGGCCAGGGCTGTTTTTGTTTTTTGTTTTAATCCTCACCCGAGGACATTCTTTCGTTTTTTGTTCAGAGTGGGAGGGAGAGAGAAGAAGAGAGAGAAATATCCGACGTGAAAGGGACACAGTGAGTGGTCGCCACCCGCACGACCCAACCAGGGCCAGGGACAAACTGCAACCGAGGCACATGCCCTTAGCGGGAACCAAACCCAGGTCTCTCTGGACTGCAGGCCGACGCTCTAACCACTGAGCCAAACTGGCCAAGGCGAGATACTTATTAGTAGTAGTAAAAAACAAACACTTCATACAGAAGCAGGTACACTAGGATTCAAGTTAATAATAAGAATGATGGAGATGAATTCAAGAAAAAAAGTAATTCAATCTCAGGAAACATAAAAGGGCCCCAGGGCAACTTTAATTTGTATTATTTTGTAAATACAAGTTAATGTCAAATAAAGCTACCCTAAAAAAAAAAAATAGACACATCCTCAACATTTACCTTCAAATAACCCTCTATTCAAATTATCTGCATTTATACCTATTTTATATGCACCAGTGAGTGATACAAAGCTGATAAATGTGATATATGCAATAATACAACTGTAACCATTTTAAAAGAAACTATACTCATGTCTTTCCTGTTTTTATATTTTTTTGGATCACTGATCCTGAGATGTTGACATAGTGGTATATATATTCTACCTCATAGCACTCTCTAATACACCGGTAAGTATTTCCATTAAATAAAATTCAGGATTGTTTGCCAGGTAATATAAAATATCACAAACTTGAATCTGTAAAATTAGGCATATATCTCTATACCTCAATTTAAATCCCATTTACAATTCATGTTTTAAAACACCGAAAATAAGAATTAGACATACTGAGTAGAAAGAAATAGTGAATTAACTCTCGATTCTTAAAAATAAAACCAATATCCAATGCAAATGAAAACATGTTTTTACCTAAGCTTTGTATTACAGCATCTAAAGGTGTGTTTAAAAATTACCTCTACAATTCATTCAAATATTAACCTTATGTCCATTATGGTCAAGACAGTCTAAAATTACAAAATACAGTTAAAAGCAATTCTATCCTCTAAGAGATATCTAATTGAGAAAATCAGATGGACACAAATAACCACAATACAATGAAGGAAGTAGATGTGAGTTTGGTGAAAATAACCCTGGCCCTATAAAAACTTAAAAGGAGGGCAAGATCACCTCTTCTGGATACGAGTATTGAAGAGAAAATCAACACCAGTACTATTTCTGTTACTGTTTTCAGAAGGCCTCAACAACACAAACCCATAGCAATAGCAATCATTCCCCACCAATTCTTCCTACAAACTCTACAGGAAACTTGCCCAAACTACTATTCACATCTATTACGATGTTCTATCTATCCATGCTAACTGACTTTTCTTACCCTTTAAACCAGAAGAATAAAGCTTTCCATTAAAGTAGGGAGTTCTATGGAAATGCACAACATCAGTAATGTTGTAAATCATTTATTACATCATGAAAATGTTACCACACTGCCATCCTGTGGAAGCACATTTACTGGCATTCACTACTGAAGATCCTACTTCTAATGTATTAGAATTCTAGAAAAAATTACCATTAAAAAGATAAAAGGTCTATTATTGTTTTTAACAAACACAACAACAAAACAAAACCCAAAAAACCTATATGATTTGGAACAAATAGTAATCTTCTGAACAGCCTAAATATCTTTTGCTCTTAAAGTATTTTTTTAAATACAAGGGTATGGGTTGGGACCAGATTGATACAGAACAAAATAACCATTGCCCTTGACTTTCAGTACACAACTGAGTTGTTCTATAAGATAAAAGGTCCAATTCAAGTTCCTTTGAAATGTTAAGTTTTTAAGAAGCTCCTGATGTTCCCCAAACTAACATCTATCTTCACTGTGACAAAGCATTACAACTTATATCTATATCTAATGCATCTCTTCCTTCTGGCTGTTCCTGAATTACATCCTTTTATAATAAACCAGTAATGTAGTAAGTAAAATGTTTCTCTGAGTTGTGAGCCACTTTAGCAAACTAATTGAACCCAAGGAGGGGGATTTGAGAACCTCTAATTTACAGCCATTCATGTCAGAAGTCCAGGTGACAACCTGAACTGGAGACTGGCATCTGAAGCTAAGGGAATTTCTGTGGGACTAAACCCTTAACCTGTGGCATCTGGTACTATCTACGGCTAGATGGTGTCAGAGAAATTTTAGTGTGGGAAAAACCACACACATGATGGAAGAGACCAGAACTCTTTAAAAGTACATTAATGGGGGGAGGGGGGGAGGAAGGAAGGGAGGGAGGGAGGGAGGGAGGGAGGGAGGGAGGGAGGGAGGGAAAGAAACAACTGAGACTAAATATAAGTGTTTGTCTTGAAATGAGAATTTAGGGAGTGAGCCAGTTAAGGAAAAGGGGTTTGGAGAAAGAAGCTGCTGATTTTGCTTATAAAACTGATAGTGATATTTGACTTTTTCACTTACATATACTACCTTAAATTTTAAAATTATAAATAAAAATAAGCACACCACTCTATTAGAAGTTGTATTTTAGTTGCAATTTTGTACTTCATATAACACTCCGGTGTTATTTCTTCACTGTGTTTCTCATAATCAAAAAGAGTTCTAATGAAATTGTATTACTTTACCAAAACACTGGTTTCCAATCACAACATCTCTCTGATTAATTCAACCTGTAAGAGTTTTCTGTCTATAGCACAGAAGAGGAGCTCTAAGATCTGAGACACCATCTCTCACTAAGCATCTGATTCAAGAATGTTTTAACACCTATAGCCTAAAGAAAGATATACTATGGTCTAAATGTTTGTACCCCCCCCCCCATTTTCCTCCCCCCCATATGTTGAAAACTTAATGGCCAAGGTGATGGTATTAGAAGGTGGAGGTGATTGGGTCATGAGGGCTCCTGGAATTAGTACCCTTTAAAAGGAAGTCCCAGGAGAGCTAGCACATCTCTTCTAGCATGGGAGGACAAAGCAAAGCAAGGTACCAGCTATGTACCAGGAAGAGAGCCCTCACATAAACATGACCATTCTGGTGCCTCAATCTTGAGCTTTCCAGTCTCCAGACTATGAAAAATAAATTTCTGTTATAAGCTACCTAGTCTGTAGTATTTTGTTATGGTAATCCACATGAACTAAGTCTGTTGTATATTATACAGAAAGGGCTTTCAAAAGTTTAAAACTGTTTACTTTGAGGATGCTCAATTTTTTCTAGTGAGTATGCTGTATTTGAATACTATGTATATGTGAGATTTTCATGACAGACATGCCCATTCCCCCCAATTAAAAAAAATGGCTGACAAATATTAAATCTAGACTAACTTGTATAAAAACTCTCCTTATAAACATAAAAAGCAAAATAAATATAAAATTATTTTTACCTTCTCATGGGTAATACCAACCTAATAAAAATGTCTGTTCAATTAAAATAATGTATATGAAACACCTCTTAGAAGCTGACAGATTTCAAAAGTCAAATCACTTACCTATGTAGACTCTTTTGCTGTATCTCTGCATCAGTAATAACACAAATACATGCAGTGGAATAAGGTTGATAATAAACACATAACCACCCCAAGCAGAGACCTATGGGTAAATAAATAATTTATGTTTGCTTTTTTTAAAATAGATAAGTTTTGTTATGATACTCTAGGCACACAATAAGCAAATATATTTAGCAATATTGAGATGTTTAAAAATGGATTTATATAAACCACAATCTAGTTCTCTGTATTTTTATTGATAATAATAAAATAACACAATCCTATAAATCCAATATGCTTTCCCACATTCACTGGAGAGGTAGTCAAATTAAGTTAAACTTAACAGAATGTTAAGAACATTATAACTTTTGAATTGAAAGTAAAAGGACTTGAAGATAAGGACTTTTAGGATATAGATTATAAATATTTAAAAGAAAAAAATAGCCTTTACTTCTTCCCCTGTTTTTGGTGATAAATACATTGCAAGAAACTTTGCTGAGAATATAAACAAGGAATGTTAGCAGAAGTCAACAAGTAAAAGAAATACTCAGATGATCTGGATATGCTTTGAGATCCTCAAAATAAAGGTGTTGCCTTTGGTATAAATTATTTCCTGTACAAATCAAGATCCCATTTTAATGTTTAACCTGTATCACAAAGTTAGAATAATTACACTTAATCAGAATAATTATGTTCTAGTGTAAATTAATAAAGATTCTAAAGATATGTTTATTCTAAACCAATAAAATTCATTTTTTAAGTACATTCAATAACAGGAAATAGGGTCTTATCAAGATCAAAGTTTTGGCATGTGCTCTGATAATTAAAGTGCTCTAATAATGAAAAGTTTGAAAAAGCCATTTATACCAATAGAAACCTTAAGAGACTTTATGTTCACATGTATATTTTAAAAATGCTGCTCTTATCTACAATCTTTCAGAACTAATTGTAGGAAACTGTTTTCAGTTTACAATGCATACAAGAACATTAGTTCATTGCTTCAGTCACATGTTATTTTTTTTCAGCACAAACCAATGTTACTCTGATTGAGCACCTAAACGAAGGACTCCTAGTTATTTCTAAAATTTAAGTCTAAACTTGAAAGAGAATGGGTTTATTATTACTGAATACAACTGTACAGAATGTGTTCCAGGTTTTAACCACTTTAAAAGGGCCACAGGTAATTTGGATGCACAAGTCCCATGACATTTGTTTAAAAACAAACAAAAAAAAGGTACCTAATCTTATCATTAATTTTCAGCACAAAACTACTAAACAGGCTGTGGTGTGAAAAAGAAGCAGGAGATGGAAGACAGAATACTGAACCCCAATCTTAAGTAATCTGTTGAAAAAACTATGTAGGTAGTTTACAGGTTAACCTAGAAGATGTGACCATTATTTAGGTTAAGCTGTATATTTAAAAAGAAAACATTTTTGGTTCCCTTGCTGCAAATGTTGTATTTGAAAGGTTGAATATTAGTCCTTCCCACTAACGCACAAGTCCATATGGGCCCTGGGGATAGGGTAGGGAAGAGAATGGGAGTAACGAAAGAGTATACATTAAACAATATTAAGATCCTAATGATTTCAGGAGAAACAAAGTGGAGAACTAGCCCTTGATGAGAGGAAAATGATGAAGATAAACTGGTCTAACTGCCAAAAAGACTTGTTAAATCTCATGTAGTTTCAAATATAAAATCTTACCATATAGAAATACGATAAGCAGCAGCACACTGTCCAAAAAACAGACCCAGTTTTTACAGATTTTACCTAAAAAAAAAAAAAAAAGGCAACTGATGTAATAAATGTTTATAATAAATACTCCTGCTGAATAAAAAAAAAGTTAAATGTTTCAGTATTACAAAAAGTCAAAGTTATTTTTTAAAAATTTACTGAGGTTGTTCAGATCCACTTAATATATGCATTTTTAACACTGGGCAGCAGTCAGACATTTTAAAAATAACTCTGATTTTATTTCTAGTTATTTAGTTTTCAGTAAAAAGAATAATCTTTAAAAGAACAAATTATATATTTCCATGTTATACTTTTATATTAAAATTATTAATATCAACAAATTGAGATTTTAACTAAAGAATAAAATTGTTCAGTAAATCTACATTTCCATATGGTTGATTTGCTTAATCTTAATCTGTAAATTCTTGTTTGAATATGATCATCTACCTCATATAATTTTGATTATGAGCATCTATTTTTGAAAACTTTTTATCATCTAGACATTTTCAGATACTATAATCTGTATCTTCAGTAAGTGTATATTCCTAAAATGGTTTCTAATAATATATCAGTAAAATTCTCAGTTTCTCTGAACTGGGAAGACAACTTACAGTAAATAAAGGTTCAAAAAGTTGACCAATTTATAGTGACTTAAAATACTTCTGCCAAGAGCAAAGGGTCATTTTTTTTTTTTTTAAATCTTCACCTGAGGACATTTTTTCATTAATTTTTTTTAGAAAGAGTAGAAAGGAGGGAACGAGGGAGGGGCAGAGAGACAGAGAGAAATATCCACGTGAGAAAGACACATGGATTGGTTGCCTCCCGCGTGACCCCGACCTGGGCCGGGGAAGGAACCTGTAACCTAGTTACCTGCCCTTGACTGAAAATAGAACCCCAGTCCATAGGCCAATGTGCCAACCACTGGGACGGCAAAGGGTCATTTTTTTAAAACATGAATCATGTGAGTGCCATAAAGAAATGATAGACCTAAATCCCATTACAAGCAATTTTGTATTAAAAGATTTATTGCCATGTGTTGATAAGTTCAAATTTAACAGTATTCTATAGAACTCATTTAAAGGAATTTTTTACTTTTAAAATGAGCCTCCACTACTAAAGCAAAGTACAGGCCCTCACCCACCGTTTCGCTTTCTAAGATTTCAGTTGCTTGAAGTCAACCACAGTCTAAAAATATTAAATGGGAAATTCCAGAAATAAACAATACCTAAGTTATAAATTTAGTGCCATTCAGAATAGTGTGATGGAATCCTGTGCCCCCCACACCCTTCCTGCTCACACACAAATAATCCCCTTGTCCATACTGTATACACTACTTGTTCATTCATTAGTCACTTAGTAGACATCTTGGTTATCAGATCATGGTACTGCAGTGCTTATGTTCATGTAACCCTTATTTTACTTAATAATAGCCTCAAAACACAAGAGTAATGATGCTGGCAGTTCCTATATGCCAAAGAGAACCCGTAAAGTGTTTTCTTTAAGTAAAAAAGTAGACTTTTTCAAGTCCTTGACTTAATAAGGAGAGGAGAAAAAACCATAAACTAAGGTTGCTAAGATCTACAGTAAAAACAAATATTCTATCCATGAAATTGTGAAGAAGAAAAAATAAAGTTGTGCTTGTTTTGCTATTGCATCTCCAACTACAAAAGTCACAGCCACTGTGCATGATAAGTGCTTAGTTAAGATGGAAAAGATTATAAATTTATGCATGGAAAATTTTTCGAAATTAAATTTTTTTTTTTTTTTAATCCTCACCCGAGGACATTTTTCCATTTTTCACTCAGATAGAGCGGGAAGGAGAGAGAGGAAGAGAGAGAAACATCGATGTGAAAGGGACACATCGAGTGGCAGCCACACACGACCCAACCAGGGCCGGGGCAAACTGCAGCCAAGGTACATGCCCTTAGCGGGAACCGAACTCGGGTCTCTGTGGACCGCAGGCTGACGCTCTAACCGCTGAGCCAAACCGGCCAGGGCTCGAAATTAAATTTTTGAGAGACCACATTCACATAACTTTTATTACAATACACTGTTGTCATTGTTCTATTTCATTACTGTTGCTATATTAATCTCTTACTGTGCCTAATTTATGAACCAAACTTATCATAGGTATGTATGCATAGCAAAAAGCATAGTAAGTATAAAGTTTGGTACCATCCACCATTTCAGGCATCCACTGAGAGTCTTAAGACATGTCCCTTGTGGATAAGGGGAGACAACTACTGTCATCAAGGCAGTATGATATTGGTGAAAAAACAAAGATCAATGAAACAGAACAGAGAGCTCACAAGTCGACCCACACAAATATAGTCAACTGACTTTTGACAAAGGTGCAAAGGCAATTCAATAGAGAAAGGAGAGTCTTTTCAACAAAATGGGCTAGACCTACCAAACACCTTTGTGCAAAGAAGTGAATCTGAACAAAGACCTCACTGTACCCCTCACAAAGATTAAAGTATAATGGATCATAGACCTAAATGTAAAACTTTTATAAAACAACATAGAAGAAAATCTGGGTATTCTTGATCTGGTGATTTTTTTTTAAAGATAAAACAACAAATGTATGATTTGTGAAAAATAAATTGATAACTGGGACCTATTACACAGAGTAGATAGAGAATATTTCCATTATCACACAAAATTCTACTGGAAAGCATTCCTCTGAGATCAACAAACATGATATGTTCAGGTTTACAGTATTAAAAGACCTAAATTCTGCTCGTGCTTAGATTGTGGAAAGCTAAAAGAGATCGTTTTCACCACAATGAGGGGAAAAAAAAAAATCTACGTTTTCTTAAGCTTATCAGAAAAAGTTATAAGGCAAGCAAATGAGAAGTGCTAGAATAGCTAAGGATCTAGACACAAGGGGAGTTAGCACTCACAAGCTCTTTCCATGGGCCTCCACCAGGTTGTCATATTGTTAAAATGACAATTCTCCCCCAAACTCATCTATATATAATATTCTCCCATAAAAATTCCAGTTGGCTTTTGGGTAGATGTTGATAAGCCAATTCTAAAATTTATATAAAGCAAAGGACTAGGAAGAGTCAAACCAAGACAAAAAGGAGAAACAAGGATGAATTACTCATGCTACCTGATTTCCAGCATTTTTATAAACATAACCTAGTGTATTGTCATAAGGAGAGAGACTTCATAGATCAAAACAGTAGAGAAGAATTCCCAAACAGATCCAAAGTGAATAATTCAATAAAGAACTGTCTTTTCAACAATAATGTTGGATTAACAAGACATCCAACATTCCCCAAAAGAGAACCTCAACCTTTTTCTTACACCACAAGCCATAATCAGCTCAAAATGGATCACAGACCTTAACGTAAAACCTAAAACTATTTAATTTCTAGAAGTAAATATGAGAAAATGTTTGTGATCTTCAGATATGCTCAGACTTCTGACAACATACACAAAACAAGATCTATTAAGAAAATAAAAAGATAAAACAAACTTCATCAAAATTAAAATTTTCTGCTCTTAGAAAGATACCATTAAAAAAATAAAAAGACAAACCACTGAATGGGAGAATATGTTTGCGAAATACACATCTGATAAAGGACTTATTCCCAAAACATATGAAGAACTTACTACTCAATAACAAGAAAATAAACCCAACCGAAACACAGGCAAAAGATTTGAACAGATGGAAAATAAGCACATGATGCTCAATATCAGTTATTGGGGAAAAGCAAATTATAACCAAGAGATACTGTCACATACTTATTAGAATGGCTAAAATTAAAATATTTGAACATACTGTTCATTGGTGAAGCAAATAAATGCAACTCCACATACTCTGGTGGAGGGGATGCAAAATGACATAGCCACTTTGGAAAACCCTTTGGCAACTTTTTGTAAAATTAAAAATGTACCTAGGGAAATCAGAAATCCCACACCTAAGCATTTATGCAAGAAGAATGCTAATTTATGTCAATATGAAGAATTATATGCAAATAATTATAGCTGCTTTACTCATGACTACCAAAAGCTAGGAAAAAAAAACAACTATACATAGTACATCCATGCAACAGAATACTACTACTCAGCAACAAAAAGTAAGACTACTGTCCAGCTGGTGTGTCTCAGTGGTTGAGCATTGACCCATGCACAATGGAGTTGCGAGTTCGATTCCCGATCAGGACACATGCCCAGGTTGTGGGCCCGATCCCCAGTTGGGGGGCATGCAGGAGGTGGCCAATCGATGTTTTCTCTCATCGATGTTTCTATCTCTCTCTCCCTCTCACTTCCTCTCTCTCTAAATCAAGAAAGAAAGAAAAAAAAAAACACAACAAAAAATGTAATGCTACTAAAACATGCAACAACATGGATGACTCTCAACATATAATGAATGGTAAGTGAAGTCAGTCTGACACAATAAGACGAATAACAAACAGACGAATAACAAACACTATTCATCACTTTCTGTGTTCCCACAATATTCTATAGCTCTTATAAGCATTAACTTATTTAAATCATATCAGGTAGGCACAAATATTCCATTTTATAGTTGATGAAATACACAGTGGGGTGGTTTAAACACCCCAGTGGTACAGCTAGCATTTAAACAAAAAGGAACCAAACCAAAGCAGTTTGTTTACAGACACTGTACTCTTAATCACTAGATCTGACGGAAAAAAAGGTTAGATTCTCTATAGAACACATAACAAAAAGCATATGAAAAAAATGTCTGTAAACAGTGCTTTGAAAATAATGCGATGACACAAAGTACATCTTTTAAATTTTAAAAACAGGTACCTTATAAAAGAGAGTAAATTGTAGCCCTGGCCGGTTTGTCTCAGCGGTTAGAGCATCGGCCTGTGGACCAGAGAGACCCAGGTTCGGTTCCCGCTAAGGGCACGTACCTCGGTTGCAATTTGTCCCCGGCCCCAGTTGGGGTCGTGTGGGTGGCAACCAGTCGATGTGTCCCTCTCATATCGATGTTTCTCTCTCTCTCTCTTCCTCCCGCTCTCCCTCCCACTCTATCTGAAGATAAATGTGAAAAT